TAAACATGCTGAAAATCTCTGTAAGATAAGTGTAAAAACATGTAGAGAATGTTTTCTGATCACTGACAAACTAAAAGCACTTTGAGACATTAGTCTACTTTTGTGGAAAGCACTTTCTATTCTCAGCGCTACGCAGTGTCCTTGGTTCCACTCCAGCTTATCCTGCTGCTCCCACGTGGGTACCTGTGCTTGGGAGCAGATTTTGCCCCACAGGTCTGCTCAATGCAGTGATAAATTTTTATTCACGGTGGAATTTTCAGAGGAGTTATCTTGATATTCATGTCATGTCACTGACATTCTACGTTTTGTTAGTTCCAACTTTACCTAATAATTTAACAGCTGTTTCAGATACTGCAGCAGCTTCAAGGTATTCTGAACTTTACTTTGCTGTGAATAAAATGAAAACACAAATATCAGCCTGTCTTGATAACTAATTCAAATGGCATTTTTATGCAAGTAAGTCACAGTGACTTGGATGATTTCCAGACTCACCCCAGCCAGTATTGAAACAACATGTTTTAAATATCTGGGTGTTGGTTTTTAAAAAAAATGTTTGTGGAGAGAAGTGACTACGGAGTAACTCTCTGGGTATTGAAGTGTGCCCGTGTCATGCAGAATACCCCTCCCCTCCTTAAAACATGGAATTTTCTCCATATGAGGACTATCTGGAAGATTCTTATCTCTGGAGGTAATGCTGCAGTCCTGTTGGAGTGGCTTCAGAGTCATGTTTGATTACTGGATGAAATCTCACCAGTTTAACTTGAAACAAAACAAAGAAGCCTCTCTGATACGATTGCAGCTGGTTTTTATTTCCTGATCTCTTCTTATCTTGAAAAAATAAAAAAAACCCAAACCCAACCCTCATAACTGAAAATTAATTCTGAAAAGCAGTTTTAAATTTAAAGGCTTGTTGGGAGATTTCAGCCTTCAAAATTGATTCTGCCCAGAAATGGGGAGTGGGTGGGTGTGCTTGCACAATTTTCCCCCTCAACAATTCTTCTTAATTTGAGTATTTTGGTTTCTTAGAGCAAAATATGAAATTCCAGTGGTGGCACTTGCTTTGAGTTTCACATCTTCACCCAGACACACCATTCAGAGGCCGTTGTGACAGGGTGTTACATGGTGTGGAGCGTCTGGTTTCTAGCAGACAGGTATGTTTATATTAAATATTAGAAGCATGATAATGTAAGTCAGATTTATGAAGCAGCCATTCCTCATTCCAAGAACACCCATTCTGGGAAGGCAGAGTGGACTGAGCTGCAGCTCAGCCAGGTGGGACTCTGCTCAGTTGTAGAACTGGTTGGTGTGAAGGTTTCCAGCACTGAACGATTCCGCTCGTTAACGCTGGGGCCCAGCCCTGCTGCTTTTGAATGCGTTAAGTAAAATTCTAGTATTTCACTATCAACGAGACACTTCTACTGGGGCCACTGGGAGCTGTTGGTGTGACAAAGAAGCCACTGTCAGAGCTGCTGGCAGCCGAAGTGCTCACGGAGACAGTGGAATCTGTAATGCAGAGCGAGACCTCTTGGCTGCAGAGGTGGGCAGAGCTCCCTCTTCCTTGCTCGGGGAGCTTTGCCAGGACAGCACGCAGGACTCAGACTTGTTTCTGCTCCTCCCCTGTGCTGTTTCACGGTATAAATTTAGCAAGAGAAGAGGGAGAAACTAAGGGATAGTAGTGGAGCAGCTTTATATACCTGATAGCTCAGTCTGAGTGCTGGAAGCAGTCGTGGAGTCTGACAATGGGATTATTGTCACTTCAGCCTCCTCTGATGCAGTTGGGTCATTCAGGTCTTGATACAACTGAAATTATCCCCTGCAGCTGCCTCTTCCTCAGAGTACCTGCTACTGCTGTATAACCAAGAGCTTTACTTGTAAAGTGTTGAACAGTCTCTTATTTATGAGTGCCATTGAACACCAACCTTCTTGCATTAAATATTTCTGGATGTATTGTTTTATTACATGTGTGGTCTGACTTTTTTTAGTATTGCTTAAGTGATCTGTCTGCTGTGAGACCGAGATCTTTGCATGTCAGATTAAAAGGACAGGAAAAAGAGGTTCAACCTGGCCTCAGCACCAGCCTGAATTTCAGCTTACCTAGGGCTTGGTCCTATTTCTACCAGTTGTTGATATAAACCCTGTGGCAATGTGTTTTTGGGGTGAAGGGGCAGCTGGCCCTGGCTGCCCCGACCCCCCTGGAACACCCCACCCCTCCAGTGGGCTGGGTCAGCTGGCAGAGCTGGTGCAGTTCAGCCTGTGCTGCTGCTATAAATAGCTCTTGGTTTTGAGCTTCTCATTAGTAGTGAAACTCACATACTTATTTGCAAGTCCTAACTAGAATGTTGTACTTAGAATTGAAAACGCAGCGTGAGCAATGCAAGCAGCAACATAAAAGGCAGGCTTGTCTTCAGAGTGGCTTATTCTCTCCTCTCCTCAAAATTATACTTATCTATATTCTCATCTCTTTAATCCAGCTCTAGGCACAGGAGCAGGCTCTTGGTGAGGGATGTGAGCAGCGTCTGGCAGCTTTCACTCCAGCCACGGTGTGTTCACAGCCCTGTCCCCAGACCTGGGCAGCTGGGCTGCAGAGGCAGCGTGAGCTCACTGCAGAACCCAGAGGGTTTGCTCTGCTTCCTCTGCAGACAGCTACAGAGCCAATGTGCCTCCACGTGTGGCCACTGCTGCTGCCACACTGCCTGCTGGGGTGCCTAGTTAATAACCTTGGGGTGCCTAGTTAATAACCTTGGGGTGACTAGTTAATACACCCAGCAGCAGCACAATCAACTGGGAGCCAACCAGTGCAGCACGAGTGACTCCTACACAAACAGTCCCTGTTTCTGTTATGATGGTGAAAAAAACAAATGGATTTAAAAAAAAAAAAAAGTCTTTAAGGCCATGTGGTGCCCGTGTGGTGTGTTTGGGGGCTGCTGCCTTGCTGCTTGTCCAGCCGGCAGCTGCTGCCCTCCTGCGGCAGGACAGAGCTTCACCCAGAGATTTACCAGATGCTGAAGCGTTTGTATTGGAGGTTTTGTTTTTTTTTTTTCTGTGCTGCCACACTAGAAGTCCTTAAGCAATTGTGAAACCAGGGTTAATATATCAATAATGGTCTTTTGTCCTTCACAGGCTTCACCTTCCATTACGCTTCTGGCATGGACAGTCGTGTTTTAATCACAGGGTGGCAACATGAGAAACTTAATGGGGTTTTAATACTTAGTATTTGAAACTTTTCTTTTTAGCTACGCAGAATAGAAACCCTACAAGTTTTGGAAGGAAAATCTTCCTGGAATCCAGCAGGACTTGCAGCCTGCCCTGCCCTCGTGCTGAGGAATCTCAGTACCCTAGCACTGAACAGCAATACTGTGCACATCCAGTTAAGAACAGTTTTAATTCCAGAGAGTGCAATCACATCACTTTCACTGTGTGAATATCTCAACTGGCTCTTCAGTACTACAGAAGTGGCCTGTGAAACTTATTCCCAGTTCTAAGTTAAAACAATGGTTTATTTAAAAACTGTTTTCCACTTTTTCCAAGACAGCTTTCACAGACAGCACAAGGCCCAGTTCAGTGTGCACTACACCCTCAGTGCTCTGCAACAGGCAACTTTTGTGGTTGTTACAGGGTACCTTGGAGGAAACATCAGTTTTATAAACACACTGGTCTAGATCAGGAGGTTTGCTCTGTGAACATGTGTATGACGTGGGAATTTAAAAAGCAGTAAAGGAGGTTTAAAAAGAGAAAAGTACACAGCCTGGGAAAGCTTCAGCTGCCCAAGAACTAATTGTGGGCTCTGCATAATTTGCACCAACTAAACCCTGTGTTCAGGCAGGGATAAGCCCCCTGGAAGCAGTGTACATCTTAGTGTTGCCATCGTGCTGAATAATCAGGAGGAGCACTCGTTTCAGTAATGTTTTGTTTCATTAGTCAGGACCTGCTTTATTCAGTCTAGGCAGTATTAGGCCAGACCAAGCCATATCTAGAGCAGTGGCAGTGCATGCAATGTTCACTTCTCAGTTAAATGTCCCAGAGAAACAGTTCAGTTTGGAAAATGTGGTACACTACAAAACAGCTGTAAGGGTTACATTGTTTTGGGGGCTGTGAGGATGCTTGGTCCCCTCAGGCACCACACGAAGCCACTCGTCACAAGTGCATAAGGAGTCTCATGTCACCAAGCAGAGGCTGTCTGCAGGAGCAAGCACACGAAAACTGAAGTCCTTGGTCCAGTTTTTCCCTCCCATAACCTTTTGTTCATGGGTCTTATCTTTAAATAAAGTTGTCTTCAGCACAGAGGAGATGACAGGTGATGTCAGAGAGCACAGCACCCACCCCTTCTCTTGGCTCAGAGCAGGAGCCCCCCTGAGCTGCCCGGGGTGGCAGAGCCAACGCTGGGCACCACGGGGGGGTGTTAGTCCTGGGGCTCCAGGGGGTCCTGAGCACACAGCCCCCCAAGGCCTTGCACCAAGTGCTGCCTGAGCAGTGCCCCAGCAGCACCTCCCCGAGGCCCCAGCCCTCTCAACCACATGCTGTGCAAGGACAGGAGTGGGGCCTCTAAACACCAACACCTCCAAGAACTGATCTGCATCACAAGGGTGACACTCCTGCATCCAGCTAACGAGGTGTTGGCTGTAACCTCCCCCAAAACGTTTCTATGAGTTCCATGGACGGTTTGGAGAACTGAGGGAGGAATCAAGTCTTTTTAATTTTTTTAATTATTATTATACCTAATTCCTTGTCTCTCCACATCTCCTCTGTGCCTGAAGTCAATTTTTTTTCTGGGCAAAATACTGGTCTTACCACAAGTGAAGTGAACTCCCAAGGAAAGGGTAAAGCTTGGTTTGTTACTAACTTACACCTAACTCAAAATTACTACAGGAATCTTCTTAGTCACAAGCTTCAAGGCAGAGAACAGCCCATACCCACTGCAGTTCACACACACCTCCGACTTCAGCAGAATCAGAGTTATGCCAGGAAGGAATTTGGACCGTGAGGGTTATGAGTTTATAAAACTATTCTTTTACACAGTTGACTCCAGAAGCTTCACCAGCTGGTATGGGAACAGTGTGATGTAAAACCTGATGATCCCACCCAGCAGTGGTCAGCAAGGCATCCTCTGAGGGGGACCAGGACACGCCCGTCACGAAGTCCTGATGAGAACGGCTCCGGAACCTGGGGGACAAACCCTGTCAGCCACACAGCACTGTCACCAGCAGTCCCTGGGCTCGTGCAGTTCCTCACTGACAGTTGGTGAGGATGATGCTCCCTTACTTAAGAGTATTTTTACCTTCCGCTCAGCATGTGGATAAATAATTAACTTAGTGAGAAGTCAGCAAGACTAACAGCCTCAGTAGCAGATAAATTCTGTCTAGTACTTACACCTCTGAGAGGTCTGAGTCAAGAACAGCTACTGAACAGTCTTCACTGATGGAAGCCAGCAAGGGTGAACTAGAGAACAGAGAGAAGACCATAGTTAGAACAAATACAACAAAGCTTCTTAGGGATAAACTCATGAAAAGTGCACTTCTTAGTGAGCCTGACCCAGGGACAGCGAATTAACAGATACCAAACTGTAACAAAAATGTTTTCATCACCATTTGGCAGGTTGCCAGCACACTACATGAGAATATTCTACCAGTGCAGAAAGCAAGTAACCCTTCTCCAAGCAGAGGTGATGAGAGGAATCCCTAGAGAGCGGGTCAGTAACTCTCAATGCTTCACTATCAAGCTGCTTGATTAAAAAAGACCAAGACTAGTACTGCTGTGGGTTTTACTCTAAAATCAGACAGGGTTTCCAAGGGTAGGGAAGCCCACACTCCATGCCAGTGCATCTGACTGTACCTGTGTGCAGAAAATGCAAAGCCTGTGATGCTTCGGGTGTGCACGGAGGAGCTGAGGGCAGAGTCTGGGTTCCTTCTGTCCACTAGTGCAACCGTTCCACTCTCGTCACCTTGTGGGGGAGAACAGAGGCATCACCAGAACTGCCACGTGGCAAGGAAGGACCCTGGTTTGCCTGGTGGAAGTCAGGTATTAAGATATTCTTACCCAAAGCAAAGACATCACTCTTCTGTGGGTGCCACATGACTGAGGTAGGGAGGTGATTACAGGCACTGCAAACTGGGAGAAGTGTGAGAAGTCAGCACAGACATCCCTCCTCTCACGCAGCACTGCTGCTGCACCAAGGCAAGGATTTATAAGCTCACTGTACTTTTGTGACAGGGTTAAGACTTCCTTAGATTTTAACAGGCTTTTCTGCCCAAATCACTAGGTTTCAGGTTGGAGATGGTGAAGTCAGACATAAAATAATTTACTTCTTCCAGGAAAAACTCACCCACAAGCAGTGACTGCACAGAGAAACGTACCGATTCGAGTGGCTGGTTTGGGGCATCTGGTGTCCCACAGTAAAATTCTGCTGTCCTACAAAGCCAAAGTGAATGAGAAGTTTTATTACAATTTATTTGTGGCAGGGGGTAGGCACAAACTCAAGACTCACTGCAGAGCTGCTACTGACCCACGTTCAGAACCACATCACCTCTTCCTTTTGTCCTACAATGATGCTGCTATTACTGGCAAGTCAGCTCCTTCAGTCATGCCCAGGACAGACCTAGGAGCTCCACATTTCATACAAACGTGTAGAAATGAGCTTGGTAAGCTGACTATCAACTTATCAGACTGGAGCATTGGAGTAACGTGGGTATGGAGCTTGTCACACAATAGCTGGTTTCTCAGTAAATGCACTTAACTGTAACTAACTGAAGTTAGGTCTCATGTTTGACAGGCAGGTTTAGACAGAGAGTGAGCTTTACCTCAGCACAGGACAGGAACACAGTGTCTTTACCAGGACAGGAAGCCACACGTGTCACTGAACCGGAGTGAGCTACCAAAAGCACAAAAGGATAAAGAGCCTCAAAGGTTGCATCCAACTTTCCCACCTATTCCCAAGGACCTCTGAAGGCACAGCAGTAAAATAAAGAATAGTTCATGCTCAGGTAACAGGATAGCTTCTGCTCAGTAGCAAACTGCTTCCTACCAAGCTGATGAGCTGCCAAATCCAACCAGAGCCACTGCAGCCCAGTCCCAGTGCTGTGCTGAGGACTGAGGAGACCTCTCCAGACCAGAGGTCAGGTACAAAGGGGCTGGGGGGCCAAGGATCAATGTTGTCAATGTGCCTCTGTTGTCACTAGAGATCAGAATACCAGAGACTGGCACCTTGAGTGAGCTGCTGGTCAAAACTAGTATAGGTTAGATCACACCATCACGTGCAGGTGGAAGAAAAATTTCAGTACAGAACAGATGCTCTAAAAGACATTTAAGAGATGGAAGGCAAACTAAGCCTCGCAGAAATCATATTTCAGAACAAAAAGAACAACAGACTAAGAAATAAAGCTGTGCCAGAGACTTCACAGGCCACCACACATCAGATCCCAGCCAGGAGATGGGTGAGCAGGGCTGCAGCAGGAGCCCAGCCCAGGGGCTCGGCGTGGACTCACCTCTGTAGGAGCGCAGCACCGCCTGCTGCGGCAGGTCCCAGACCTTCACACTGCGGGCGAGAGGGGGCGTCAGCACCG